AAATTTAATACACATAGACTAAACTATACATAGATTCTTAAAGCTCCTTTAGCTGAATTCTCAAGGTCCAAATGATTTTTATATACAGCTCCAAATTCCATGTGATTTTTGAGAAATTGTGCCTTGGTAAGTTGTACAGCTTTCCAACCTAGAATTTTATAAATGCAAATCTTAGGCATAGCTATATACTGAACGTTAAGGAATCTGGACACTTTACTACCCTTTCTCCAATACACACATCCTCCACATGCATATTTTTGTTTTGCTTTTTACAAGACTAGGGATTGAACCCAGGGGCACTCTACCACTGAGCTGCATCCATAACCCTCTTAAAATTGTTTTTATTTTGAGACAAGTTCTTCCTAAGTTGTCCAGGCTAGCTTCAAACTTATGATCTTCCTGCCTCAGCCTCCTGCATAGCTGGGATTATAGGTGTGCACCACTGCCTGCTGGCCACATGCACTTTCTCTTTTTTTAAACCATGGAACAGAGTTGATCCTGCAAGTAACCTCTAGACACTTTAAGAGAAATGGTGTTTAAGGCAGAGGAATAGGTTCACTCCATGGACTCAACAATCAGCAAATTCAGCAACGCAGGAACTAAATGCTTATTTTGAGTTTGGAACTGACATCCATATGACCCTGCCTAAATCACCATCTGTATTATCATCATCATTAATTTCTTTATACCTCAAAGATGTGTGTTTCTGGGAATAGGGGGTGAGCTACGGTACAGTGGAAAAAATAAACCAAATTGCTATCCTAATTTTCTCTTGCTACCCTGGCCAAATCCAAAAATCTTTTCCCCACTTTTTCCTCAAACCTCCTTAATTTCCTTTCTCCTCCTCCAAACTCTAATTGCTTTTCATTCAATGAAAGAGATGCCACCCCTGTAGCCATTCATGAATTCCCTTTATAATGTGCCAGGCCCTGTGCTAGATGCTAAAATTTTCAATGCTAAACAAATCCACACACACCAGATTTGGTTTCACCAAGCTCATTTTATAGGGAACATCAACTTGCCACGTACCATTAGCTTATTCTCGAGTTATATTTCTGAAGTTTCCAATTCTTTGCTCAATGGGAAGGATTCCTCCCACCCCAGAAGTTCTCTTGCTCCCTGGAGAGAAGGGTAAGGGCCAGGACCTTGTTCCAATCCTTGTTGTGTAGTATGTAGTATGTGATTCAGTCAGTAGGAGTGACTGAACTCTGTTGTTTTTCTAGCTTATCATTTGGGTCTGATGTCTCCAGTTGTCTATATTGTCACGTAAGGCCATCCACAGTTTCAGAGGTAGGCCGAGCTGCTAGAATGTGTTGTGTGGTGCAGTCCTGTCTGTTATCTTTTAATTAATCAATAATGATCAAGACAGGAATCTATGGAGTTCTGGGTCCAATGAAACATATAGACAATCCTCTATGCAAGGTGGGAGTTCCGTCAACAAGGTCCTCTGTGCATCTGGCCCATCAGCCAAAAAAACCTTGCTATACTGGTCAAAGTAGAACTCAGCCTCTGGGCCCGGTTCTAAACACCCCACCTCCACCCAACTTTATAATTAGAGTCCAGAGTTCACCAGACTTTTGAGATGATTTGAAAACATTAAATATTGCAGGAAGTAGAAAGAACTGACCCGGAAAATAGAAGAACTAAGAAAGAGCGATGAGAGCCATCTTAAAGTAGGATTGTCACTTGGAAATTGATTTGGGGTTATCCTGTAGGGCCTAACCAATGGCAAGGGAGAGAATGACAAATTTAAGGTTAACCTAAAGGCAAATTTTCTAATTAGTGCTGTCTAAAATGGGCACACAGTGAGCTTCCTGTCATTGGGGGCATTGACTCATGAGCTAGGTCACAACTGGCAAGGGGGTTGTAGGGAAATCGAACCATGGGCTAGAGGGAAAATGTTGGATTAGATGATGTCTGACATCTCTTGCATATCTGTGACTTTCTAATTAAATATAATCAGTGCTCCCCCACTCCCCCTGGGCTCCGTGTGCACAGATGGATGAGCTGAGCATGGTTCTTGAACATTTGCTGGGAGGGAAGCTAAAAGGGGCAGCCATTCAGGATAGAAAGAACCAGCCCCACAAGCCTATTTGACAATCAGTTGAGCCCGATGACCTCAGCCTGAGATTTTTAGAAAAGAAGCCATTGGGGAATGCAGAATGAATTTGGGTTTTTAAAAGATGATCATTAAAACTTCTGATATTAAGGGATGGAACATTAATAGAGACCAGCTCTCCAGGCAGCAGGCACTATAAGTCCCACCCCTGCCATCACTTGCCTGTATCAGGGAGCCGTGCAATTGGTGAGCCTCCTGTGGACCTAGACTGCACTCTACAGAGAACTGTATCCCTGTTCTTCCTACTCTAAGCAATACAATCCTGAGGTCCCATTATCAATTTGGAGTCTCCCTTTCAGGTTGTTTGCATAGAAAGATGCCCCGAAGCATGGTGGGGGAAGGGAGTGACTCTTAATTTGAAATGTATTTTTTTTAAGAAGGAAAGAGCGTTTATAAAGCTAATAGAAGAAAGACAATGAATGAAACAACATGAATTAGATACAGTTTAGTTAGCATTTTATTTCAGCATCAATAAAAAGAAAAAAAGCACCAAAAGTACATCTAGCATGTCTCCTGTCTTCCTTTCCACACGAATAGCAAAGCCCTTGGCTAGGTGAGAGGTGAACACCTCCATGTGCAGATGATCTATCAACTTTTTCTCTGCCTGAACTCATTGCTGGCCTCTAGCCACTATTTATCATTAAAATAACAGGTCCACTGTACCCATCTTCCTGGTACGTATTATAAGTATCAAATTAAGAATCAGTCTCCTGTCAGACATGGTGGCACACACCTGTAACCCCAGCAGCTCAGGAGACTAGGGCAGGAGGATCCCAAGTTCAAAGCCTCAGCAATTTATCAAGGCCCTAAGCAGCTTAGTGAGACCCTGTCTCTAAGTAAAATACTAAAAAGGGCTGGAGATGTGGCTCAGTGGTTAAGCGCCCCTGAGTTCAATCCCGGTACCAAAAAAAGAAAAAGAAGCATTCTCCTTCACCCTGTTCTGCTCCTGGCCCGTCTTCTCACACCCACATCACATTCTCACTAGTGGGGGAGAAATAAAAGAGTCTGGAGCCAGGCTGTTTCTCTACCCTAATCCAGCTGCTCCTGAGAGGTAAGAGCCAGGACACACACATTAGCCCATTTTCCACCTTCTGTCTTCAAACACTACAAAAGAAAGTGCCTCAAATAGTCTCTCTGTGAGCAATTTACAAGGTGGCTGGTGAGAGCCACAGATCCAGCCTCACAGAGAATTTATTTCCAAGTAAGTTGATACCAGAGTTATTTATTGGAGCATTATTCCTGCCAACAACTTAATACCAGAGCCAGCCTTTGAAAGCACAGTGAGAAATCTGTGTTCGAAAATGTGAATTGAATAGCTCTCGCAGGCTGCTCCTTGGCCACATCCATTTTGCCTGGCTAGCCGACCCCATGCGTACGTCTCCAGTGTTCTCAGTTCTTAGGAGGTGCTTAGATCATGCCCTGCTCCTTGTCCAAGATGAACCTGGGACGGTTCGTGGGCCTAGAAGACAAACCGGCTGCCAGGAGCTTGCGCCACAGTGGATTTCCCCGAAGAGCAGATTCAGGCTCAGTGACTGAAGTTTGGACCTGACTGTTTGCTGCTGCTTATCTTTCAGTGATTTTTGCTTCAGAGAGTTCCCAAAGATAACCTTATTAGGATGACAGAGGCTTACAGGCCAAAGAAAGAGACACAGCTATTATTCCAGGGATCGACAGTTGGCTAATACCATAGTTCTGCATGTCAGCATCTTCATGATTATTTCCTAGGCTTGTTATTTTTGCTCTCTTCTGACACAGGCTTTCTATGTGATGAGAAACACCAGGGAATGCAAGATGGGCAGGCAAACAAAGGGAGGGCACAGAGGCAAGGACTAGGCAGGCCAGGACATGGCTGCTGGGCCGGGTGAAGAAGAGCCTGCTGAGGACTCAAACTTACTTTTTGGACCCCATTCTTAGTAGGATTCTTTTTTCTCTCCTTCCTTTCTTCTTTTCTCTCCTCTCCTCTCCTCTCTCTCTCTTTTCTTCTTTCCACTGGGTATTGGACCCAGGGATGCTTAGCCACTGAGGCACATCTCCAGCCCTTTCTTATGTTTTATTTAGAAACAGGGTCTCACTAAGTTGCTTAGGGCCTCGTTAAGTTGCTGAGACTGGCCTTGAACATGCGACCTTCCTGCCTCAGCCTCCTGAGTTGCTGGGATTATAGTGGGCACTACCATGCCTGATTGGATTTTCTAAATTTATATGAAATGAATTAACTCACCTAAATGACCATCCATTGTGATATTGACATTCAACATACTAACTGCAATTCAACATACTTTAGCAATTTTATCTTAAAAAGTCCATCTAATTTACAACCACCCAGTTGATGACCCCTGAGGTTACAGAAAGCCCTGAGAAGAGTATAAGAATGCAGAGTCATAAAGATTTGGGCTGATCGGTGTTAGACAACCATGGAGATAATTTCATTGCTGAGGGTTCATACTGCTTAAAGTTTTTTAAACAAGGGCTTGGTTCCTGAGAGATATGGGTTATGTGTCCTGGGAAGGAAGAGAAGAGAGGGAGCATCTTGGTCCATTTGGCTACTGTAACAAAGTACACTAAACCAGGTGGCTTAAAAATAACAGAAAGTTATTCCTCACAGTTCTGAAGATTGAGGTACTGTGTCCTCACTTGGTGGAAAGGCAGACTCCCTCAGTCCTCTTTTGTAATGGCACTAATCTCATTCCTTAAGCCCCCACATGCAATACCATCACCTAGTCGGTGAGGATTTCAGCATATGAGCTTTGGTAGGAATAAACACTGAAACCACAGCGGGCAGAAAGCTAATACCTCCAGCTCCCATCATCCGAGCCAGAGAAGAAGAGCAGATGCCGTCCACATGAGCTCTGAGAGCGGCTAACAGCTGTGTCTTCCCGCCCAGGCCAGCGAAAGGCGCGTCCACCTCGTCGTGTCCCGCCAGGTTCGACAGCACAGCCCAGACATCCTTCAGGAAGCCAGCTGGATCAGCAATGGCAACTGGTCCCCAGGCCCAGGCGACAGGAGCAACACTCCCAAGGTGAGGCCCAGCCCAGGCATGTCCACTGCTCCTGCAAGGAGCTGCTTCTTGGGAAAACTGCTCACTTTATTATTTCAAAGTGTCACCTCTGGACTTCGTCACTTACAGAAACACTGTAGCACCAGTAAAACTTAAGGGCCAGAGTCCCATCATCTGATTGGTGAGATAACAGGTGTCTCCTATCCAAGCAGGAGCAAGGAAAGGGCCGGGAGAGTTTTAAAACCTGCTCTTACAGTAGACCTCATGTGGGGACCTGATTTCTAGTCTAAGCCAAATACATGTCTTGCTCTTACCAAGAGTCATTACGTGTAAGGACTGTTTTCCATTTACTTTGAAATGAAACAAGAGGTTTGCTTGGTTTCTGGTTCTTAAGATTCCCAGTGTGACTGGAAATAAAGAATGATTATTCCTCTGCTCTTTTAAATATGTTTACGTTTTACAACAGACCCAGGAAGATGATTTAAACACTGGAAGCTCGTGGAATGGAACATTAGGGAGTGGTGGGGATTGGAGCAAACCAGAGAACATGTCCTATCTTAGAAAAATCCAAAAAATCTTAAAACATTCTGGATCAAGCAGAATGGATCTGTGAGTGGAATCTTTCAGGCCACCAGTCTGCAGCCTCCCTTCAAGTGAAGTGACTCAACTCAACTTGTGCTGCTCTCTGTAGCTTCTATGAGAGGCCACACTTTAACCTCTCTCCATATATACATACATACACACATACATGTATATTTTAATATATACATACACACATATATCCATAAATTGAGTTTTTGAGCAATGTATGCAGAAACGATATTCAAAATTTTAATTAAAGAGTGTGATTGCTTTATATTGTTCCAGAGTTTATATGATTACATCCTCTTCCCCAATCTCCAGCCAGCTATGCCCCATAGATCCTTAAATTCCATGTTTGTAATAAGAAATCTAGACAGACCAAATACAATCTTTTAAAACATTTTCTAGATAAGAACTTCCTGATGTTTTCTTGCTAATAAACACTGCTAAACTGTTTAAATTAAACTGACAGTTTTTATAAATGGAAAAACTGGTGTATTGGCTTCATTAACTAAAGTTTTTTGTTTAATTTTTGTTTAATTAACTAGAATGTCATAGAATATATGACATTCTAATTCATTAAACCACTAGAAGGGAGGCCTCCCACCACCTGCCACGAGTCATGGCAAGGCCAGGAGGGTCTGCCCACTTTGCCACAACCCTCTGTCCTGTGTCTGAATTCCTGGAAACACTTCCACGCTGGCCTTCTGGGAAACCGTGTAGTTCTCTCTTGCCTTCTGAAATGTCCTTACAAAAAGAGTGGCATATTTAATATAAAACTAAGACACATATGGCTTGTTTGATGGTTTAATTCTTTTATGTTCTGACTCAAGTTCTTTTTTTTTTCTTGATTTAAGAAACAGTATGGGAAAAAAAAAAAAGAAAGAGTGTGGCATTTTGAAAATAGGAGCATAAATTATTCAAAGACATACCACAGGAGGCAAGCCAGGATTTATGGAACAGAAAAGCTTTCGGTCCATTGGAAAGTCAAGGAATAATAGGCGTAGGATGACCTCTGTGGGAGAGGAAAAGGCATGTGATGGGGGAACCCGGGCCCTTTAACCCTATGCAGAACATTCGGTTTTCACCTCAGGTTGCAGGGTGCATGGTAGGTTGGGATGTTATTCTGCAGACAGTTTTTTTAAGCGTCTAAATTTTTACTTTAAAAATCCAGAGCAAATATTCTAAAATATATTTATTTTGCCTAGCTTGAGTGATGAATACTTGGCTGACCAAGTATTGGGCAGTATGATTATTTTTAATCTGCTTGAACTATTTCGTCAGAAATTGTTTTTCAGCATTAAGGAACATTGCAAGGTTTTCAAAGTATGGAAGGAAGAGTGGGGAGAAAAGAAAAATAAAAAAGATTATTTCCATCATACTTTCCTCCTCCCCTCCCCAGGATCGGAAATGCTATGTGAGGATTTTTTGAGAGACTTGGGTTTTTCCATCACTATCTAGGACCTCTCTCCGATTAGGAGAGCAAATGGAGATTCAGGACACATGGACATACGTGGACATAATGGCTTGTTTGATGTCTTAGTTTTTTATGTTCTGACTAAAATTTCATTTGTGTGGTGTTCCTTTGGTTCATCCTGTTGAACCCCTCGATGCTCAGTTAATCATAACTTCACTGAGTGCAGACAAGGCTGTGCAGGAAGCACCGAGAAGAGAGAAGCGAGGGTCACTTGTTTTTCAACTTACAAAACATTCCAGATATTCATCAAGGATGAGGGTTTTTGAGATGTTGACTCACCATCTCCGGAATGGGTGACTCGCTTAACCAATTTGAGATATGGTTCACTTTGTATACCTCAGATTTCTCCCCTCATCTCCAACCTGGCTGTCCCCCCATTTTTACTACTTCCTTTTCAAATGGAAACTCTCTCTGAGTTCGCCTATAGAATTTGGGGTAATGTACCTGCTGTAGAGGGATGCAAAATGACAGTCCTTTTTATGTGTCTTTCTCTGTGATCCCAAGGACCGCCATCGTGTTGATTCAATTTGCATAACGTATGCAACTTTGGTCATTTTTGCAAGAAGACAACCCACTTGTGAATACATGCACCATGGTTTTTTTTCTGTCTGTGCCCTCAGCCCTTCCATCCTGCAGCCACCTGTCACGAGAAGGTGATAAATGTTCGAAAAGACCCCAGTGAATCTCTCGGCATGACCGTTTCAGGGGGAGCATCGCATCGGGAATGGGACTTGCCTATCTACGTTATCAGCGTTGAACCTGGAGGAGTCATAAGCAGAGATGGAAGAATAAAAACAGGTAAAAAGCCAAGAGAATTAAGCCACTGGGGTGGCAGAGCTCTAAGAGGGAATTAAAGCTCGCTAGGCTAGGTTACTGTTTTCAAGAATTACCAAGACAATGTGAGACAGATCTGGCTAGGACATCAGTGATGGCTGACCATGATTAGTTGGCACAAAGCAGCTGGACTGGGGTCCACTCTTTTGGCCATGGGGATTGTTAGGGGCCAGTTAGCCTGCCAGTAAAGCTAGAACCACCAGGCTGTGCCAGAAACGAACAGGCAACGGCTACCGTTATGAGGCAGTTGCTTCTAGGATATAATTTGGTTATATATCCTATATAAAATGGTTGTGTTCATTCTAAGTGCTTCTTTGTTGGATGATCCTATGACGAAATTAATTCATGAATTGTTCCATTTTATGGGTTGGATAGGAGGAATTATTTGGTAGATTTTGATTTAGTGGTCCTGCACTAGGTGTTTTCTCATTAGAGAAAAAGTGTTTCACCCTCCTTCATCACACATTTCCTGGGCTACTTTAAGTGAAGGGAGGTGGTGGGTGGAAGGAGACAGCCATCATTATACAAAGTACATGTATGAAGATGTGAATTTGATGTCAACATACCTTATATACAAACAGAGATATGATAAATGGTGACATAAAGGTGTAATAAGAATTGTAAGGCAAAAAAATCAATAAGAGAGCTCATGTATAATGGCATGATTTGGCATGAACATACTTCATATACAGAGTTATGAAAAACTGTGCTGTGAATGGATACTTATGAATGTGATGCATTCCATTATTGTCATGTATGAAAGAAATAAATTTTTAAAAAATTACTTCTACAAGTACATAGGGATAACAGTATTGTCAATGCCCCCAAGGGGTAGCTTAGGTGGATGGACAATTCCACCTTTGAAGGGTAAGCGGGTAAGAGAGAAAAATGTGAAGTTTCTGAAGATCAGTTGCTCAGCCTGAGAACCCCCGGGGCTGGCGTGTTAAGACTTCAGTCGGCCACCCCAAGGATGCTTGACCTGTCAGCAAGGACTCCAGGCCTTTCCATCTGTATATTTCCTTGCCTGTTGACTCCTGCTGTGGTTATTCTGTATGAAAAAAAAAAAAAAAGATCAAGAAGCTGAAGAACAGGAGAGATGAAATAATAGAAAATGACGATAGGGGAGGTTAGTATTTTCATTTCTCTTGCTTTTCTTCGAGAGCCTGTGTGCAGAACAACGCAATCCAACTGCAGTGAATCACTGAGGGAATACGAGCTGGAAGACAATACCCAGGGTGTATGGACATGGTCCTGCACACATAGGTGCTTAGCTGCATCCCTCGACAGACAGCAGAAACATTCACTCTTTTTTCCACCTAAGAGCGCAGGTCCAGACCCTGTCTTACTTAGCTCTCTGGACTCCTCTGCCAGCGCCGTCAGGGGTAGCTTCTTATCATCTGGTCTTTCCATATTTATTGGGTTTGGTCTGTATGCCAGGCTCTGGGCGTTGTGCTGGAGCTTTTGCCAAGAGCTCCCGCTTTATGCTAAGAACAAACAAAAAGGATGAAAAGTAGAGGTTTTTTGATTTTTAAAGCAAAGGCCAAACGCCAATAGATAGTCTTTAGATAACCCCAAACAAACAGCATTGCTCCCCTGTTCAAAGAGTAAGGAGGGAGTTTACTCTCACATCAACGCCAGGGACAAGTGATACACGCATGCCCTCTGCATGTCCCGCATCCTTGTCCCTTTGCCCTTGAAGCAGATGGGCCCTGTTTGCACTCACTAAACCTGGCTTCTGCTTGTCTGGCCATCAGGTGACATTTTGTTGAGTGTCAATGGGACTGAGCTCACAGAAGTCAGCAGGAGTGAGGCAGTTGCCTTACTGAAAAGCACGTCCTCCTCGGTGGTACTCAGAGCCTTGGAAGTCAAAGAACAGGAGCCCCCAGAAGATGGCAGCAACCCAGCCGCCCTGGACTCCAACCACAACATGACCCCACCCGGTGACTGGGCCCCGTCCTGGGTCATGTGGCTGGAATTACCACGGTGAGTCTCAACAGTCCATCCCTCTGGGGACGGGGTGGGGGGGGGTCCCCAGAGGGATGTTTTCACTCTCTTGGGCTGATTCATGGCACGAGCATCTTAATGAAACCCAGTCTTGGTTATGGGATTGTTTGAAATAATTCTGTCTTCCTGTTGGTTACTGAAAATGCACGATGTAGTGATCCTAAGGCAGGGACAGAGGTCTGGATACACAAACATGTTCAGGTACTCACACTGAATATTTGCAGAGGTGCCATGTACATCTGTATATGTTGTTCATGCAACAAGCAGCTTAGCAGACAGGCAAGAACGGGTAGACTTCAAGCCTGCATTTACACACTTGGGAGCTGAGCTGCCTCTGCCCAGGGGAAGCTTCACTTTTGCCTAATCTGCTATTGGCACTCCCAGGAACTTGTATGGAGGCTGACTGTGGCTTTGCCACTGCCTCTTTCAGTTGGCCACGGGAATACACAAACCCTGGGTGTACATAAAGCCTTTTTTAATACAGAAAGCCAACAAGCAGCAGAACACTGTGCCTTTGCCCAGAAGCCAAGCATCTGCTGGTTGAGATGCTTCTCAGCTCATGCCTCCTTAGTGCGTGCTCCTGAGAAGCGTTTTAGAAGCTTTCTGTTGTCATTTTAGTGGGACGTTAAGTGAAGTATGAAGTCATTTTACATAGTGAGAGGTTTGAGACACTCCCACTAAATAGCTCTGTACAGAAATTAAATATGCAAAGGACAGATAAACCCGTGTTTGCTCACCTGCATCAGAGTTTAAACACTGACCTTCAGAAGAGACCTTACCGATTTCCAATATGTGACTTAAATATCAAATATTGGAGTTGCTGAAGAGGACATACTGGCACAGGATTAAATGAGTGAAAGCAAGGTATTTGGAAGATATTTGGTTTTAGAATGTTTTTTTCTTGAGGCTGGAGATAGGTCCCTTTCATTTTTTTTTTTTTTTAATTTTGAAAGCTTCCCTGCCTCAGATACAAACTGACCTAGATTTCGTTTTGAGCCTTCACTCTATGACAAATTAATTTAAAACAGTACACTTTTAAAAAAAAAATGTTTAGAAGCTGAAAACCGGGTATTGACACTTTAAATCTTGAAACATGTTACAGCTGAAGCTGAGTAGAAGAAGAGAGTAATACTTCAAAAAAATGTTGTTTTTAAAAAATTTTCTGAAACTTGAATCTTGAGTCGTGTTTTCGTTTTTGTCTGAAAGTGATTTTGTCATGTAGTCAAGGTCCCTCGTGGTTCATCCTCGAAAGGCAGGTCCATGTGGAGTGCTTTTCTCTCCAAGTGCAGCCCAGTGATGGCCTCCTCTCTTCGCTTTCTGTCATTTGGCCTTGGATTAAGGCTGGATTTGCTCATTTCCTCTGAGAGGAGAGCCGTAAGGTGCCGTAAGGCCAGCCTAGACAGCACTGACTTCCAGGACCCTGGAAAGTCTTGGTTCCCTTCGTTCCTGTCTCTCCCTGCAGTAATACAGTAAACAGTACAAAACTCAGAGGGTTCAAAGAGTATGGGGGGAGTGGAAAGTGGGTCTCCCTCCCACCCTGGTCCTCTCAGATCCACTCCACAGAGGCGATCAGTGTTACCAATTTCTTGTGAATTTTTCCGGGGAGAGCCTATGTCAGAGGCTGGCAGACTCTGAAAAGAGCCAGAGACTTAAGGTTTTGGGGGCCATGTAGTCTCTTGACAACTACTCAATTCTGCTGTTGTCGCTGAAGAGCAGCCATATTTAATCTGTGAATGAATGGCTCTGTGTTTTAATAAAGCTTTCTTAACAAACTCAGGTAGTATGCTGGGCTGTCGCTTGCTAAGCCTGGCCTGTGTATGTATGCATGTGTACACACACACACACACACACACACACACACACACACACTGTGGAAGCATATACACTCTTACACACCTGTTTTCCCTATTGTATGGTTCAGCCAGTTACCTAAGGTTCTCCATGAAAACATAACACGTCTGCGGGTCTTGAATCAGGAAAACCATTGCAATCATGTCCTCAGGTATATCATGTCCTCATGATATAGCCAAGCTGGGGACGAAACACACAGAAGAGGGTGACATTGGCACAATGAGCTGCAAGTATCTCTGCTGAGCCACTGGTGTTAGATACCGGCGGTGGCAGAGAGCATAAAAGTGAGTGAGAAAGCTCAAGGCAAATGTGCATTATCAATAGTGCCCTTGTCGAGAGAGCACTATGTGCCAGAAGTGACCCCAGAAGTGACGTTGCCTCCCAGCTATATAAGTTGTCAGCTCCCATCCAATAGGAGGCGATTCAGTAAACATTGACGGCATTCTGATTTCTTCTTTGTTGGCTCTCAAGGCCCGTGACCCATATCTGGAAGGCTTTCAATTCATGCTCTCATCTGAACTCGTATGATAAAAATATGCATTAACTCATTTCTCCTCTTGCGTAAGAATTTAACCTTTTAGTCTTCTGAAACTCTTAAAAGCATTTTAATCACAATTGTCTATAGTGACTAGCAAAACACCAGATATCAGGGATTCTCTTTTTTTCAGCCAAAAAACTTTCACATTCGATTGTGAGACAGTGACATTGTCAGGCACAGCCGTGTCATGGAGTACTAACAAAGAGGCCCGGTGGCTAACGCTTCCTATGTGCCAGGCACTCTTCCAAGAGCATCATGTTTTACATTTTTCACTCACTGACAACTCACATCAGTTCTGTGAATTAGATATTAAGAGCATCCTGACACTAAACATAATCTAAGCTCAGAGGGTGTAAGTTGTCCAGTTGCGTATTAAAAGGCAGAGCTAGAAGTTCAACCAGACAGTTTTGTTTTGAAGTCTGTGTAATTTTAAGCACTGTGCACTAATAAGTTTGGGGAGCATTCCCAATAGGATGTTAAGCCTATGTTTAGCTTTAATAATTTGAGTTATGTCATTTGTTTTTTTCTCTACCATAAAGCCAGTTCTGGAGGAATATGAATGACACAGTCTTTGTCATTTTCCTGGTGTTTCTTATAACAGCCCCAGAAGAGTCTGTATAGCTTTTGTCATTGCTCACAGTTTAGGCCTCAAATTTCTTGTCACTTCCCCCACTCCATCACTTTCCCTATGGGATGATTATTAGTAAGTAATTATCAATCAAAAATCAAATGAGTTAGTTATTCATGGCCAAATCATTTCAAGAGCAAAATTATTTCTTAAAGTATTTTTTTAATATCTGCCCCAAACCTACCTACATTTTTTTTGAGAGAGAGAATTTTTTTAATATTTATTTTTTAGTTTTCGGTGGACACAGTATCTTTATTTTATTTGTATGTGGTGCTGAGGATTGAACCCCATGCATGCTAGGAGAGCGCCCTACCACTTGAGCCACATCCCCATCCCAAACCTACCTACATTTAATATGAGATATTAAATACTCTTTTAAGACATTTGCTATAATAATGGGTGGAGCCTCCAAAAGAAAAGAATGCTTAATATTCCTGAAGGTCTTTAAGTGGCTGTGCTTAGCAAACGTTTGTTGAATGAAAGAAAAAAGTAATCTACTGTATACTAGGAATGACCTTCAAGAACTTTATTCTAAATCAAATGAAGTAAATAACAAAATGTCATCATAAATTATTTAAAATAATGAATTGTGAAAGTTATCATAAACTCATGGATGCTTGCGAGATACATGCTACTTTAGGAAACTAGACAAGACATTGGAATGGGCGGTCTGTGTCATCTTGTTGGATGATATGACCAAAAGAGGAGAGCAGGAATACCAATTGTTTTCACAGTTGTGCTGCATAACAACCAGCTGCAAACCCTTGGTAGAATATAAGAATCATTTTGATTATCAATCAGTCTAGGGGGTTCATCTGGCCTGGGCTAGGCTTGGTTGATCTTGACTGGCTTGCACATATATTTATGCTCTGTTCTTGGGTCATTTGGATGGCACTGCTGGTGATCCTATCTGGCCGTGCTTGGATGTCTAGGCTTTGGCTGGCTGAGGCAAACATCCCACTGATACTCTTATAGCCAAGCTAGAAACAAAGCAGTTGGACACTACAAACTATCATAGACACAAGGAAGACGGTATGAAGAATTAGGGCCATTAGTGCAATTATTTTGTCACATTAAGAAAGAATGAGAGGCTGGGTGCGGTGGTGCATGCCTATAATCCCAGTGGCTCTGGAGGCTGAGGCAGGAGGATTCCAAGTTCAAAGCCAGCCTCAGCAAAAGCAAAGTGCTAAGCAACTAAGTGAGACCGTGTCTCTAAAAAAAAAATACAAACATAGGGCTGAGGATGTGGCTCAGTGGTCATTGAGTGCCCCTGAATTCAATGCCCAGTACCAAAAAGAAAAGAGAAGAATGAGGAGATAGTAGTTGTTCAGGACATTTTGAGTGGGACATACAAGTTTGCTAAATATGTCTATAGTAGCAACTCTTAAATATTTCTTGTCTGCATACTTTAAAAAAGTATTTATTATCACAAAGAGTTTTTCTTTATGTGTATCTCATATTTACCTTACTACAAATAAGTCCAAGGGATATTTTAATAACAACTTTATGAGAAAAATATTTTCTAAAAAATTAGTGAGAGTGGCATTGTTTTGTGTTACTTGAAAACCTCTTAATGCTTGGTGTAATAGATGATAACTGGATTTTTGTGTTTTCTTCTGTGTTCAATCTCTTGTCATATCACCCACTATCTGGAAAATACTATTGGTGTGCTCATAATGAGAGTAAAAAAGACAGATCATATCTACTATGAAAATTATTTTTATCTTCCCTGAAAGGCACATACTTTGGGATCGCACTTTGGAGGAAAGTCTAAGATAAAATAAGTTGGGGCAGGATCAATATGCAGATGGTACAGTGCCTGATCGGCTACTAAATAACCACACGGAGACAGAAAATACCTTTTGGGGGGTTCAGTGATGGCTCCTGGACCTCAGCTCCCACAAAGGAGGCAAGAGAGGCAGGCAAAAGAGAGAGAGCATGCCTGAAACTCTCCTATCTATT